AATACTAATGGGGAAGGGATGTGGTATGTGGGCTGGGTGCTGGGGTGTCCTCTCTTCTGCACTCCCCTCACTCTGGGAATGCCTGCCCTGGGCCTAGAGTCCTTCCTGTGCCTCTGCCTTTCACCTGCTGTGCCCTTTCCTCTACCACCAGGAGCCCTTCCTTGGAAGGAGGTTAGAAGGGCAGGAGAGTTCCAGCCTCTGCATCACAAAGGCTAGTGCCAGGTATCACTACCCTGTGCTGCTTCAAGGAAGAGATGCTTCCCTGCTTCTAGCTCCCTGCCTCCTTCTCTTTGGAGCTAGAAGGCAAAACACAGCCCCTTTCCTTGCCTTGTGTTTCCTATCAGCCTCAGCTCCTGTGTGAGCAGCCCCCCTGCTTTGGGAAGGTGCCAGTTCCCTGTCTGTTCAAGGCCTCTCCTCTCTCTGTTACTAAAGGGCTGCTGCTTTCTGTCACTCTTGCTGCTGGTATGCAGGGCAGGGTGCCCCCGTCTTGCCCCTTCCACGGGCAGCCTGCCCTGCGTGCAGATTGTTCCTGCTCCCTTCCTAACGCAGAGGGGAGGGAAGGAGCACGGTCCCCACCCTGCTTCTCCTGACCACCTCTTCCTTCTGCTGCCACAGAAATCCTGCCCTGGCACGTGGGTCCCACCAAGGGGGACCTTGCCCCTGCGTGCTCGGGATACCCATGCAGGCTGGGGGCGTCCCTGGCATTGAGGCTGCCCTGGTGTAACCCCAGACTGTGTGGTCGCTGAGGCAAGCTCTGCTTTCTTCACATCTTCCCCAGCAGAGCACGCACAGGATGTATCTCATCTCAGGAGTGCATATTGCAGCCTCATGGCTTGCTCAACAGCACGGCCTGCCCTCTGCAAAAGGGACTATTACCCACGCGGCTTCCTGTCTTTCAACACTGCACTGGAGGCAGCGTTGACAAGTGCAAAAGAATGAAACAGGTCCCCAGCCCTGGCCCTGCTGGCTACTGAGTGCTGCTCACTGAGAAGTGGTGACTTCCACATCACCGCTCTGGTTTGCGGGGGTGACACCCGGCACAGTGAACGCACACGGCCCCCGAGCGCTTGGGTATTGCAGTTCCACAAAGCGCAAATCCTGTGACAAGTAACCCTGTAAAGTCAGTCAATCTGGAAGTGCAACGTGCCTTGCGCTGGAGGAGCAGAGGGTTTGTAGCCGGGGAAGTCGGGGCGCAAGGAAAGGCCATGTGTGCTGCCAGGCTCCCGGTGCTCTGCAGAAGGGCAGCAGCTGTGCTCAGGGACCCAGAGCAGTGAATACGCCTGCAAGCAAGCGGGGCAATCCTGGCCACCATGGCTCAAGAGCGCGAGGAAAAGTATTGCAACTCGTAGGGTGGAATTTGCACATCCAAGACAAGGTATTCCCATAGATTAAGTGGCGGCTTTTCCTTCAGACAGCATGGACAGCAAGTGCCAAGCGTTGGTGTCAGCTTCGGCATCTGTTACGCAACGACGTCAAGCTACATGAGGCACGTGAGGTTCGACCTCAGGCTGCAGCCCTGACACCTGCTTCGCCTTCAGCCAGGGACGACCTGCAGCCCAGGTCGTACCTGATGGAATTTACGGCATGTCGATGCAATTTATGAGCTGTCTCGCACCGGAGCGCCCCGCAGCGAGGCTGCACTCGCATCAGTAGAAGCCGACGCGCTCCCGACGCGCACCGAGCGCATAAACTGGAGCGAACCGAGCCCGGGCGCCTCCATAGCGGGCAGCGCCGCGAGCGGCCGCCCCGCTCCCCGGACTGGCCCC